ACTCTGGAATATGTCGGACATTTGAATCTCAGTTTTGGTTTGGTTTTGGTGCACGTGGGTTTTTTTAGGAGTTTTTAGTGGTTTCGTTTTGTCAGGGTTTTTTCTGTGGGTGGTTGGAGGGCTTCACTTGTAGGTCTTATTTCTTTTCTTTCCCCTGTGCTGTTTCTGTTTTTCAGTCTTGCTTTTTACCAGCACTAAACGACTGCCATTGTGTTGATATGTTTCTGTTTCCTCAAATAAACAAGAACAAACACATTATAAACAATATTTATTTTCGGTTTGGTTTTGACTCGAGGCGGGAGAAATGGTGGGGAGGGGAACATGGTAGAGTGTGCGCTTTATTTGTAAATTTGTTTCATTTCTTAGATTCGAGATTGTTGTTTTTATTTGTTTGGGACGGGTGTGATTCCTGTTGTTTCTGAAGTCCTAATCTACTAATGCCCGCGGGTTCATAAAAGTCAGCACCGGTCTGGTCTGTCTCTGAGTATTTGTGGTTTTTTCAGCCGACATATTGAACGACAATCATTTATTGCTCCTGGGTGGTTGGCGGGTGCCTTAGTGTAGTTTGCTCCTTCTCCTCTATCAAACAACTATCGTCTTAATGGTAATAATATCATCTCTCCTCCGTACGTTGTATGTTAGTATCCAGCTAGGAAGAAAAAGAAATGTGAGAATCTGTGGTTGGTGTGACCCTTTAGCTTTAATGTTAACAAAATTAAAATACCCTTTAACATCACATTTAGATGTGGTTAAGTTCCTTGCTGTTCCATGCCGTGGGTGGTTGGAGGGTGCTCTGGTGTGGTATGCTCTTTCTTTTCTATGAAACAGTTATCGTCTTTATCTCTTCTCCATTTTTGTGATTGTTAATCTCATGTAAAATATCTAATTTTCGGCATTTATATGACCTTATTGTGTTGCAAGTGCCGTAAAACACTTACTAAAACAAAACGTTCCTCGCAAAGATTTGTTTTGTTGAGTATCTTCGTATTTCTGCTAGCCTTCTGTATCCCACTCATGTTTGACAGAAACAACTCCGAGGTTCCAGGTGTAGTTAGACATCATCCACCCAAAAAAGATCTGGAACTTTAAAAAAATGAAATAGGTGTAGTTGTTGTTTTTTTAAAAAAAAATGAGATCTCAAAATTTAGATTTAGATCTACATTATTATTTCTATAAAATTTTTAACGTGAACAAATTTGGTATATTTACGAAAAATTTGATAAATTATTTGTCTCCACACTTTAATTCATTTTAAAGTTACAAAGACCAGGAACAGTACATCTCTCTATTATTCTTTTTTAACTTATTTAAAAGATCAAAATTGTACACATAGTGCCGTGAAATATCTTTTCAATTACAATAACATCTTTCCACTCAGACCTTGATGGCCGTGGACGCTAAAATCGAAGAAGCCAGCTTCTTAGATTAATGTCTATCATTCTGTCGACAGAGAGTTTCTTTCCATTTACGATCACAGGAGCCAATCCTGAGCAGTGGGCATCACAAGTAATTTATTTCTCTTTAATGTGTCTGTCGGTTCTTTAGCAGCTAATTACTGACCGATGGTGTCAACAAGGCGTACCTCAGATTTACATGTTTTATCTGGCATATGTTTTGGCCGTTTTGAGTTACTATATATATAAGACCATGACATAAGAAAGCAAAAGCTCTATCTGCTCCATCAAAATCGTATGAATATTTGGAGTCAAAGATATTCAAAGAATTGCATTCGAAAAAGCTTGGATGAAAGTTTTTGACGTCAAATTTATCAAAAACTGGGTATTCACCAGATAGAACCTTGTAATACTGAGGTAGTGTAGTGCTTGGAAAAATCGTAGCTTATAATTTGTGCCTTTTCACTCTTTGAAGGCAACCATTCCGGTCATTCGAGCAACGCTTTGAGACATGATGTTTTGAAATATTCTCAGTTCTGTATTCGTTATCTGCAACTAAAAATTGCAGGCAGCAGTATGCTTACTATGAAATATGCAAATTTGTATTTTTTTATTTGACGTGTATGATGGTTCGTAAAGTACCACACAACATTGCCTTTGGTCTGCTGTTGATCGGACATAATATTATGTGTTCGCTGCGTTCTCTAGGAGTTAACTCAATAGATACTCTCATTTTTTATTTGATAATACTTAAAGACAAGTTGTTCCTTTTTGGGCACTTTAAAAAAAGAAGCAGGATTTCAAATTTCCACAAATAATTTTATTATTTAAATTCTAGTTTGCATATCTAAAACAACAACATCCATAGGGTTTTTGCTTGTATGTGATGGCTCAAAATGTACCACAAAATTGCATTCGGTATACTTATCCGGACATATAATTTGTTCCCACGATAGTTTCCTGGTACCGACCTATAGGTACCCACACCAGGTTCAGCCTTTTGGGAACAGATTGCCAGTCTGCGGGCACAGGGCCCGGTCTCTAAGTTCCCCTAAATCCGGTAATGGGCGGGCCAATCCTCAGTCCAGTCAACTCATTTGTACTGTCTGAGGGGGGCTGTTATCGGAAAACATTGGGTTTTTTAAAATTGCTTTTTGTTTGTTTGTTTATTTATTTGTTTGTTGTTTTTAGTGGGTAGAGGTTCTTTTCGTTTGTTGGTGGTTATTTTTTTTCTCATTTAAATGCTTTATTTTGTTATGTTTATTTTTTAATTAGTACTTACAGATCAAAAGCTGCATCTGCGTGGTTACAGTTTTCAAAACAATCTTTAGGTAAGAGTTTGCAAATTCTCTGCATGCCACTCGGGAATTAAGCCCGGGTCTCTTTCGTTGGAAATTGAAGCGCATAACTGCTACACCACAGAAACCGATGAGTCACCTGCCGTTTTTGCACATAGAAAAAGAAACCCCAAAACATAATAAAAAGCAACAAAAAACGATTAAAACAAACAAACAAATAAACAAGACAAAACAAAACAAAACCTAAAAAAATAAAACCATAGAGAAAAACAAAAGATAAAAAAATGATAACAAAATACCCCCACACTATCATAAATAAATCAATAAATAAATAGATAAATACATTTTTAATGAATGAATTAATGCATGAATGAATGAATGAATGAATGAATGAATGAATGAATGAATGAATGAATGAATGAATGGATGAATGAATGAAACGAAGGTTTTAAAAACATTTTTAGTTTTTCATGTTCAGTTCAATTTCTGTATGCTACATTAGCCAGTGATGTAGAAAATAGTTCTGGAATATTTCAGAAACTGTTTCCGAGATTAGAATTGATATTGACTGCGGCAAATCAAAATGTTGTTGCTGGGTTTTTTTCACAATACTTTTGACATCATGAAAGGGACCAGGTGAGGTTTTCTTTATTAAAATATTTTCTCACAACATTTTTATTCTTGTTTGAAGTGTCCAAATGGCTGGAGGGAGAGAAAGAGTCAGGAATAGACGCACATGGAGAGAGAGAGAGAGA